GCACTTGGCCTTGTTGAACCTCATCCCGTTGTCCTTGGCCCATTGATCCAGTCTGTCCAGATCCCTCTGTAGAGCCTTCCGATGTTCTGTATCCGAAATCCCGTGGATGCTGATACAGAGCATCCTCAAACCCCGAGCCTCTGTACTGGGCACTGGTGAGGCCTCACCTCGAGGGCTGTGTTCAGTTTTGGGCCCCTCACTACAGGAAAGACATTGAAGTGCTGGAGCGTGGCCAGAGGAGAGCCACCAAGCTGGGGAGGGGTCTGGAGAACAAGTCCTATGAGGAGAGGCTGAGGGAACTGGGCATGTTGAGTTTGGAGAAGAGGAGGCTGAGGGGAGACCTCATTGCCCTCTACAACTACCTGAAAGGAGGGTGTAGAGAGGCAGGTGTTGGCCTCTTCTCCCAAAGGACGAACGACAAGACCAGAGGAAATGGTCTGAAGTTGGGGCAGGGGAGATTTAGATTAGATATTAGAAAGAACTACTTTACTGAGAGAGTGGTCAGGCACTGGAACAGCCTGCCCAGGGAGGTGGTGGAGTCACCATCCCTGGAGGGATTTAAGAAACGTATAGACATGGCTCTTCAGGGCATGCTCTAGTGCCCAAGGTTATTGGTTTATGGTGAGGTGTTGAGTGTGGGGTTTAGTTGGTGGGTGCGGTGTTTTTGGTGGGCGTTTGGTGTGGTGTGTTTTGTATTTGTTTGGTGTTTTGGTTTTTTTGTTGGGTTTTTTTTTGTGGTTGGACTCGATGATCTCAGAGGTCCCTTCCAACCACTAAGATTCTGTGATTCTGTGATCTCACTCTCTGCCTCTCCGTTGGCCGATTACCCGGCCCATGTCTCAGACTCCAGTGCCCAGGACACTTTCATCTCTCAATTTCCCCAACTTGTGCAGGTGGAAACCTGCCCCTCGCAGCTCCTTTAATGAAGTCTTTTCTCTGGGTAACAAAACGCGCTCGAGCGGCTTCGCTCCCGCATCAAACCGGGGACGCTGCGGCGGGAGCTTAATTCCTGCCGGGCACCATCCGGCTGCGGGAAGGACCTTTGGATAGTTGGGAAGTTGGGAAGAGGAGTCTTATCTGAGCCTTTGCACAAACCCAAGCCTGATTTGCGTGCGAGGCAGCACTTGGCCTTGTTAAACCTCATCCCGTTGTCCTTGGCCCATTGATCCAACCTGTCCAGATCCCTCTGGAGAGCCTTCTGATGTTCTGTATCCGAAAATCCTGTGGATGCTGATACAGAGCATCCTCAAACCAGCCACCAGCTGTGTCCTTATTTTATCAGCAGGCAGCGCTGTGCTACAGAGAAGCCGATTCTAGGTCTAGAGGAGAAAATATTCTCCCCCCCCCCCCCATGCCTTTTTTTTAATTTATTTTGGACGTAAGGCTGCAATTGGTGTGTCTCCAGAGGGTATTGATTTTGGGGTAACGCCTCAAAACATCTTACCCTGTGGGTCGTGCGTGGCAGTGATGAGCTCAGAGGTTTTGCCCACTGTGGTGGGGATATTGGTGCAGGTGGACACAGGCAATTCATCATGGGAAAGATGCCTTCACCCCTTTCTGAAGCTTATGGGGTGGCCTTTCCCAGTTAGGTCAGCCTTCCCAGTTAGGTCAGCCTTACCCAGTTAGGTCATCCTGTGCTAGTGGGATGCAGGGGGTCCTGGCTTTGGGGTTGGGGGAGCGCCGAGGGGGCAGCAGGGGAGAGCCAAGCTGTGATTTTCTTCATTCTGACCCCGTTTGTACCAGTTTGAGCTGCCAAAAGCTGCACCTGGGGTGGCAGCAGCAGGGTACTGGTGGGTGCTGGCCGTGCGGGGGTGATGGAGAAATGGCATCGGTGCTGGATCAGGGCAAACCTCTCCCCAACACGTGGTTTCCAGGTGACCACGCTCCGGTTGATGTACCACAGGGAAGGGGTCACAGAATCAATCTTCTAGGTTGGAAGGGACCTCAAAGATCATCTTGTCCAACCGTCAACCTAATTTTGACAAAAATAGACACTCGCACAACAAACAGGAAGCATCACCATCGCTAAACCATATCTCCCAACCTGTCTTTTGAACACCTCCAGGGATGGGGCCTCCACCACCTCCCTGGGCAGCCCATTCCAAGGGCTGATGACCCTTTCAGTGAAAAAATTTTTCCTAATATCCAGCCTGAACCTCCCCTGGTGCAACTTGAGGCCATTTCCTCTTGTCCCATGGCCTGTTCCTTGGGAGAAGAGACCGACCCCCACCTCTCTACACCCTCCTTTCGGGGAGTTAGAGAGAGCGAGAAGGTCTCCTCTATAAAAACCTCACCTGGTGGGATGCAGACCCACCAGGAGCCTCCCCGGGTGTATGTTTTGCTGTCATTTGGCCCAACGAGAGGCAGAGGGGTGACCAGTGGAGCGTGGTGAGCCAGTAGCTCAGGGATGGGGTGGGAAGTGAGGTCTCCTCCAACCGAGCATCCCCCAGGGACCAGGGACCCCCGCTCGGCCTCCCTGCCATTGGCACTGCCTGCCAGCAAACAGCTGTCCGGAGCTAATTTATTTCCTAATGCTCCAGCAATGTTAATTTATAAATTACACTGGTAATTCGAGCTATTATTAATTTCAGATGGTGTAGGGCAAGCCTAATTAAAATATGACACCAATTGCCACACATATGTACCAAGGACTACCGTTTAAAATTTATAGGAATATTAAGTGTGACACTCTTGGGCTGGGAGATGCCTGGCACAGTAATTGCGGCGTCTGGGCAGCGGGAGACCTGATGGGGAGGTGGAAATGGAAGGAAGGGCTGAATTGTCCCACGCACAGTAATTGCGGCGTCTGGGCAGCGGGAGATCTGATGGGGAGGTGGAAATGGAAGGAAGGGCTGAGATGCCCCAGTTTTGGGGTGAAAACCCACTCGTGGTGTTCGTTTGGGGGGACCTTTGACAGACGTTTCTGGGTTTAACTCTGGGTTTAACTCTTCTCCCAAGCTACAGACGATAGGACAAGGGGTAATGGCTTCAAGTTGCGCCAGGGGAAGTTCAGGTTGGATATTAGGAAACATTTCTTGACTGAAAGGGTTGTCAGGCATTGGAATGGGCTGCCCAGGGAGGTGGTGGAGTCACCATCCCTGGAGGGATTGAAGAAACGTGTAGACATGGCTGTTCAGGGCATGCTCTGGTGCCCAAGGTTATTGGTTTGTGGTGGGATGTTGTGTGGGTGGGTGATGGCTTTTGGTTTGGTTGTTGTTGGTGTGTGTTTAGGGGGTGGGTGGTGGGTGTGGGGTTTTTTTTTGGTATTTTTTTGGTTGTTTTTGTGGTTGGACTCGATGATCTCTGGGGTCCCTTCCAACCACTATGATTCTGTGATTCTGTTTGTTGTCACACCACCGTCCCTGGCACGTTGGAGACTGTCAGGTCTTGCCGTGGGTTTCCAGGGGGGTTCAAAGCAAAGCGGGCTCAGGGAGGGAAGGTCAGGGTGGGCATAAAATGCCAGACAAAAGGAAGAAGCCACTGATGGCTTCTCCCTGGCTTTGAGAAAAACCAGGAGCTGTGGAGCTGCCTGAGTGTGGGAGAGGGGGGCAAATGCAGCCCCCCATGGGTACCACAGAATTTTTTGGTTGTTTTTGTGGTTGGACTCGATGATCTCTGGGGTCCCTTCCAACCACTATGATTCTGTGATTCTGTTTGTTGTCACACCACCGTCCCTGGCACGTTGGAGACTGTCAGGTCTTGCCGTGGGTTTCCAGGGGGGTTCAAAGCAAAGCGGGCTCAGGGAGGGAAGGTCATCCAACCACTACGATTCTGTGATTCTGTTTGTTGTCACGCCGCCGTCCCTGGCATGTTGGAGACTGTCAGGTCTCGCCGTGGGTTTCCAGGAGGGAAGGTCGGGGTGGGCATAAAATGCCAGACAAAAGGAAGAAGCCACTGATGGCTTCTCCCTGCCTTTGAGAAAAACCAGGAGCTGTGGAGCTGCCTGAGTGTGGGAGAGGGGGGGCAAATGCAGCCCCCCATGGGTATGAGCTTGGAGAGGCCCAGGGAGGAAGAGCTGCTGGTGAAGGGGAGATGTTGGCACCACAATTTAGGGGGATAAACTGGCTGCCAATTCCTTGATGGTGAAAAATAAGAGAGGGGTGTCTGCGTAGAGCTGGGATGCGGGGATGCTGGGGAGAGATGATTTCAGGTGACCCCAGCAGAGTATGGGTCTGGAGAGGACCTCTTTGCCCATCCTGCCCATCTCCAGTGATGCTCTTGGAGATGGGGAGCGGGGCCACCACCGAGGTCCGGTGCCAGCAGGCACCTTGTGGGCAGGGGTCTTTCTTGGGGTGCTGGGGCAAGGTTGGGGGGTCCTAGGGCAGGTTGCCACAGGTTGGCTGCTCCTCCCCCATGGCTCAAAGCCTTCTCCCCTCTGTCCCTGCAGCCGTGGGCTTCATCAGCGAGGACGAGTACCTGGAGATCACGGGCATCACGCGGGAGCAGTCGGGCGAGTACGAGTGCAGCGCCTCCAACGACGTGGCAGCCCCCGTGGTCCAACGAGTCAAAGTCACTGTCAACTGTGAGTAGCCCTCAGGGCCAGGGGGGATGCTCTAGGGGGGACCAGGGATGGGATTTTGGGGGTGGGAAGCGGGGCGAACCCATCCTTCTCCCCCGGAGCCGAAGCAGGCGGCGGCAGTTTTGTGAGCAGGTGGCGTTTTGGCCTTTTTTTTCCCCTCTTCTCTTTTCAAGTCGAGCTCCATTTTTTTTTTATTTCCACCACCACCACCTCCTCCTCAGCTGTCTCCATCAACCTGGGTTTTTCCGCCCATGGTGGTGAGATGCTGTGCCGATAACCTCCGGGGAGAGGAAAGAAGTGAGCAGTAAATAGGAAATTTATTTTTTTCTGTTAGAAAAAAAAAAGTGAGAGAGAAGGAAAGAGAGCGAGCAGGAAAGCAGCACCGTGTGTGCTCAGGGAAGGAGCTGAAGATGCTCCAAAACTCCTCCACGGCCATTCCTTGTGCCGTTTGGGGTCTGCAGAGGGTCGCACGTGGTTCCTGAGAGCTGTGGGGCTCCGGTCCTTGGAGAAGCCCTCTCTGGGCTGGGGTGTGGGGTCCCCCACGTGCCCCAAATCCCCTGGAGAGCAGTGCTGGAGCAAGGCACGGGCTCAGGGATGGTTTGGGCTCCTCAAGAAAAGGGAATTAGAGGTGGAAGGGGAAGGGGGAGGGATGCCCAGAGGCCATCTGGAGCTGAACCCCAGGTCTCCCATCTTCTCCCCAGACCCTCCGTACATCTCGGACGCCAAGAGCACCGGGGTGCCCGTGGGGCAGAAGGGCATCCTGCTCTGTGAAGCCTCTGCTGTCCCCTCTGCTGACTTCCAGTGGTACAAAGATGACAAACGGTAAGAACCTTGGGAGGGGACAACACTTGGAGGGGACACACACACACGTACCAACCCAGGGCCAGCAGCTTTGGTGTTGTCCCATCTCAGCAATGGGGCTACGGTAGCCAGGAAAATCCATGACAACCCTTGGCTCAGCTGGGGTTGGGATGGGGAGGAAGGGTCTTCCCCACCAACACCATCAGGTTGAGCTTCTCAGGGGCCAATTTGGGCATCTCACCAGGAGTGGATGCTGCTCGGTGTCTTAAAAGCAGGTCAGGGCTTTATATTTAATATATAAATATATTTATATTTATATCTGCGGGGTGGAAAATAGATGAGGGCATTTTAGAGGGGGGGGAGATTTTTGCAGGAGCCTCTGTCAGATGGGTTTTGGGTGGGCAACGTGGGCAGCATCGCTGCCACCTTCACCTCTATCTGACAGTCTCATGGTGAAAAAGTGGTACGAGGATATATTGGCAGTGCCAAGGAAAGCACGTAGGAGGAGAATGAAACCCCTGTCAGCTCTTCAGATGCTGTGGCCAGAAGGCAACTCATTCCTGCATGGCTTCTCCTTGAGAAGCCCAGAGGGGCCGTGGTGCATCCCAACATGGCACAAGCCATGCAGGTGGCTTTGGGTGGATGTTTTGGGGGAAGAAGACTCTACAGGAGGCACGGAGGTGGCTGTGGGCACTCGCCCAGGCTGTTTTGGGAGGAGAGGAGCAGGCAGAGGTTTGTGTGGTGGATCAAAGGCTTGGCTCAGGAGTAGCTCAGATCGTGGGGACCCACAAAGTGGTGGCAGGAGGGGGCTCAGCCCAGCTGGGTCAGCAGTCGGAGCCCCCCAGGAGTGATAATGGGGGTCCAGCACCTCCTGGGAGGAATTGGAAAGTGACAGAGCTGCAGGAGATGAGCAGGACGGGGACACCAGTTCAGGGAAGTCAATGTTCTCGGTTAATGTCGTCATGAGGGTCCACCAAAGGGGTTTGCTGCAGCATCTGCTGCTTGTGGATGCTCCCAGCCCTGTCTTCTCCTCTCTGCCAGGTCCAGGGGCACCCCGGGTTCAGGGCAGGGGAAGGAAGGTGCAAGAAGGCATCCTGTGGAGCCAGGGAAACCGAGGGGCCTTCGAGGCTGACCCGAGAGGGAAATCAACTCTTCTGCTGGGTGGGAAGGGACCTTTCCCAGATACCCTCCCTGGATGCCTGAGCATCCCTCCCTCTCCGTTTTGGCAAGGCCCAAAGCCTTCAGCAGTGACTCTGCATCCGTGAGGATGCCTGTAGACATCACGGGGACAGTGAGGGCTGGCAGCTAAGGGAGGAGACCCAGCAGAGCCCCATCTATCTCCCATGTGTCTCCCAGTACCTTCCCTTCTCCAACTTTATGCCTGATCTTTCCCCCAAGATTGATGGCCCCACTCTGAGGCAGGGCCAGGAAATAGAGGATCGTGAAAAATAGTGGGGTCCTCTCCTCCCGGTGCCACCTCCATGACCTTCTCTCCTCCTTCCTCTCTCTCAGGCTGGCTGAAGGACAGAAAGGACTGAAAGTGGAGAACAAAGCCTTCTTCTCCAGGCTGACTTTCTTCAACGTCTCCGAGCAGGATTACGGCAACTACACCTGCGTCGCCTCCAACCAGCTAGGGAACACCAACGCCAGCATGATCCTCTACGGTGAGTGGGGCCAGGGGAACCAGCTGGGGTTGGGACACAGCTTAATGGCAAGATCAACCATGAGTAAGACACAGGATGGGTCTTTTTTTGTCTTTTGGGGAAAGGTGTGTTTGCTACTGATGCTTTTTGCCCCCACGCATGGATTGGAGGTTGTAGAAAGACCAAGGGAAGCCTCCAGACCCACCTCCCGACTCTGGCCCCACGTCTGGCCCTGGTCAGGGCTGTTTGGCACCGTGTTTGGGGTCCGTGGTTGTTGCAGAGTTGTTAGGACTTGGCTGTGCTTTTTCCATCTCCTCCCTCTGACAAATTTCTAGGAGAGAATGTGTCTGAAGGGAGTCTCTTGTGTTGATGGTGGTAGAAGTGGTGGTTGGTGGTAGAAGAGGTGGTGCTGAGGGTCATCACGGCAAAGCTGGGCTGTGGCACGGGGCATCCCGTGCCTGTCCAAAAATAAACATCCCCTGTGGCTCCGCCACCATCCAGGTGGCATTTTCCTCTCCTTCCAAGTGGATATATTCTTAGTGATGATCCCAGTGGGAGATGGGCAGAGAGGGGGAGAAGCTTTGTCCTGTCATCCAGGGGCTCTTTCCTTTGCCTGCCAGAGCTGGATGGGGAGCAAAGCATCTGTCTGACACGTTTAAGGCTCAAAATGGCTGTAATAGCTCAATAGATCTGTCAAACTTCATCCCTGGCCACCACCATGGGGATATTTCCCTGGCTGGGATATGGGGTGGGTGGTCCTCATGGCTGAACCCTATGGGAGAAGCGGGTTTTGAGGACCTCCATCCCCTCCCAATGTCCTCCTCCTCCTTGCAACCTGTCCTCCCCCTGGCCACCCCACCCGGTGTCAAGCAGTGACAGTAGGTGACATTAATCCCACCCCATGGTAAGCAAACCGTGGAGCGGGGCGGGAGGTTGGCATTAATCAGTGCTAAGAGTTTTTGATGGAAAACTCCGTTTTCCTAGGGCTTTGAACCCTCATGGTATCACACACCCTTTCCTAGTGTATAGAGTGGATTTAATTAAACCCACAAAGACTTTGTGGGACACCCCCTTTTCCCTAGAAGACATGGGGTGGAGGGGAGAAGGGTCACGGAGGATCCAAACTTGGGGACTTGTAGACATGTGGGGTTTGCCAGAAATGGAAGTGGGGTTAGAAGTAGGAAGCGTGGCAGGGTAGGAGGAAGGGTGTCACTGGAAATCTGGTCTCCCTTTGCTGCTGTCCTCTTGTGTCTCTTGGCCAACGGCAATGCCTTGTGTCTCCCTTTCTTTGTTGTGTCTGTGGATGAGAAGCTTTACTGGTTCAGCAGGACCGGTGCCTGGTGTGGCCGTGGCTCGTTAGGCTGAGAGAGTTGGGGGGGTTCAGCCTGGAGAAGAGAAGGCTCCAGGGAGACCTTCCAGCCCCTTCCAGTCCCTCAGGGGGCTCCAGGAAAGCTGGGGAGGGACTCTGGATCAGGGAGGGGAGCCCTTGGAGGGAGAGGGAAGAGTATGACCCTGAAAGAGGGGAGATGGAGATGAGATGTGGGGAAGAACTTCTTTGGTGTGAGGGTGGTGAGAGCCTGGCCCAGGTTGCCCAGAGAAGCTGGGGCTGCCCCATCCCTGGAGGGGTTCAAGGCCAGGCTGGAGGGGGCTTGGAGCAACCTGGTGTGGTGGGAGGTGTCCCTGCCCAGGGCAGGGGGTGATACTGGCTGATTTTTAAGGTCCCTTCCACCCCAAACCATTCTATGTTCCCCTTCAGCTTTGAATCCCATCAAGGAGTGAAATCAAGAGTCCTTTGACCCCCCCCATGATTTCCATAAAGTCACATTGATTTAATGATCCTTTCAGTCTTTATTAAGCGAGTTCTCTCCGGAGGCAAAGGTTCCCCAGGCCCCCCCTTACCCAAGAGGGTCCCTCATCTCCCCACGTGGGGCTCCTCATCACCACCAGGAGCAGCCCCCCCATAATTAGCAGTAAGAGAGGTGGCCCCACTTGGAGCTACCGAGCATCATCAGGCCGAGCTCGCTGGTCCCTAAGCAACCAACAGCCTCAGTCTGGCAATTAACGTGTCTTTATTTATCATCATGAAAGCCAAGAGGGAAGTTGCGTGCGATGGCGTCACGAGAAAGGTCTTGGGGGTGAGGCTTTGGGGGACAATTTTGTGTCTATCCCTTTTTCCCTGAAGTCGAGCGTGTGTTTTGGAGCTTCTACCCCTTCCCACCTCCCAGTTGGAAGGTTTAATCCCTGTGGGTACCATGGTGGGAGCCATTCCGGGGCCGTGTGACAGAGGCTAATGTAGTGTTGAGATTTAATCCCTTTTTTTTCATAATCTAATTTTTTTGGGGGAAGGTCAAGTGGTGCTTTATTTAACACCTGGCAGTGGTTATTGCAGGCATCTCCCACCACGTTTGGTGCTCGTTGGGTGATGTGATGGAGCTCTGGGTGGAACCACGACGTGTGGTGGAGTTGGGGGCAAAGCAAACCCCCAGAGGCTGGAAATGGAGAGCCAACCCCCCCCAAAATCCCCCAAATCAAAGCCTCCAGGCTTCACTTTTTGCACAGGGTGCGATTTTGGGTCCCATTTTCTCCCCCATCCCCTCCTTTTCCCCAGCCCCTCGAGGGCCGAGCGAAGCACCCGGAGCCTGCATTTTGCATTGCCCTTTTGCCTTAACTTTTGCTTGTTTGTTTTTTTTTTTAATTTTTTTTTTTTTTTAGAAGAGACAACTACCGCTCTGACACCCTGGAAAGGTCAGTAATTTGGGGATCCCCCCAACACCAGCACTCCCTCCCCTCCTCTTCCCCATGGGCCCCTCTGGATCCGTCCCACCGGGAGCCCTGGCACCAGCTGCCTCCCACCCCACAACCCAACCCACCGCTCCTGCTGGTGTAGTGATGATTTTAGGACTTTTTTTGGGGTGTTTTCTAGCTGCCCTCCCATCCTGCCTCCTTCCTGTGGTGGTCTGCATGCCCCGTCCCCCCCACGCTTCCTCCCCATGGTCACTGCGTTCCCCTCCCTGTCGCTGGGGTGCAAAGAAGGATGTCTTTGGGGTCTGTGTTCCCCGTGTCTCAAGAGTCCTTTCTCCTCTGGGATGCTCTTAGTGCCTTTTTTCTTGGATGTGGTAGGGGTGGAGAGGTGGAAGGTCCTCTTCCGCCGTTATTGGGGGCCAAGATGGACCACACTCTGCCACGCCATCGTTATTGACTGGCCACTTGGCTCGGTGTCATCTTGATCGTGGGGCTCCATGGCTTCGTTTGTGGTGTATTGAGTCCTGGGGATGATAATTTGGGATGTCATGAGGGCTACGGAGGTAGCGTGTCTCCATCTCTGTCCTTGTGCGTGGCTTCCAGGCCCTGCTGGGATACGGGGCTAAGCTTGTGAGGTGTCCATGAGCATGTTGGAAGACAGTTCAGTGGTGGGAGACCAAATGGAGAATGGTTCTGAGGATCTCGGTGGGGCTTTGAAGCGAGAGGGCACATCCCGGGGTCGATCAGACCTCGTGGGCCTGGATGCCCTCCTGAGATCGTTTCCCAGCCTAGTGTTCCCCTGGGCCAGCTCTTCGGGTTGTTTTGGTGGAAGCCACCAGGTCAGGCACTCTCCACACCCTTTCCCTCAGTGAGGGTGCCTTGTGGTCCCCAAAGGCGTGGATGGGCTTGGCTGTTCTTGACCCATCTCATTCTTCTAGAGATGGTCTAGGTCTTTGTGATCATTGGAGAGCCCCATACCAGGCAGGCTCTACAGAACACAGAGTCCTGGGTGTAGGGCTACTGGCATGGTGTCTCTTATGGCTGGACAGGTTGGTTGTGGTGTCCTCCCCAACAGAGACAAGTGGGGAGAGACAGGGCTGGCAGTGTGGAGCCAAAATGACTATCTCCCTTAGAAGTGTGGTCGGAAACTTGGGCAAAATTTGAAGGATGGAAAAAAGGGCATTGGGAAGAGGTTGGCTGGGACTGTGGGGATTGGGGGCCATAGCGGGACCATGGGAGGTCATGTCTCAAAGACTGGGGTCAGCGGGGATGGGGATGGCCAGCAGGGTTGGATGAGGGTGCCCAACGTGGTCTCAGATGGGCTAATGCCACCACGTGCTGTAGCGTTGGGCACCCAAGCGGTTGGGTTGGGTTGAGTTGGGTTGGCTTGGGTTGAGTTGGGTTGGGTTGAGTTGGGTTGGGTTGGGTTGGGTTGGGTTCTTCCCGTGTACTTTGTATGGTTTTTTGGTGGCTTTGTGGTTAACCCAACAGGGGTTTGTCACCCTTCCTGCAGGTCCCGGAGCGGTGCATGATGGGAACAACGGCGCCTGGCGACGAGGAGGCTGCATGTGGCTACTGGCCCTCCCGCTCGCCCAGCTGGCCCGCCAGTTTTGACCCCAGAGCCGGCCCGCGGAGTAGCGGCGGCAACGACCACGGCCAGCGAGGGCAAGAGGAAAGGAGAGGAAGAAGAAGAAGAAGAAGAAGATGAAGAAGATGATGATGTGTTCACCGTTTCCGAAAATAATCATAAGAATTGAGAGAGTATCCGGCCAGGCCACCTGGGGGAGGGGGAGAGTGGAAAAATCACGCAAAAAAAAACACAAAACAAAACAAAAAAAAGCCAAACAAAAACGCAACGGGAAATTGGAAAGGAGAGAAAAGAGAAAAAAAAAAATAATATAATAATCCAAGGCTTCCTGCAGAAGATGCAACGCGACTGAGTCTTTTTCTTCCCCAGTTTTATTTTTGACTCCCACCCACTTATCCCCCCTCCTCATTTTCGCCGGTCGCCGCCGCGGGCCATCGCAGAGGATGGGGAGGGACACGGGGGGCACCTCACCGTGTCCCCCCACCCCAAGGTCCCCTCCACTGCCCTCGCCTGCCCAATCCCTCCCCCAGGGAACCCTCCCTCCGGACGCACCGGTTTCCTTCTTTGCCGAGATTTCCCCGTCTTCTCACGGACCGCGCCGCCATTTGTGTTCCAGGACATAGATATATATATATTTCTCCACGTATACATATATATATATATATATATATATGTATAGATATATAGATCTTCAACCAGTTTCCACGCCACCAGGAAAGGAAAAGGGAGGAAGGAGACGGGCGTCGAAGCCACGCGTTCATCG